TTTGCACACTTTTAATGTGCAAAATGTGTCTTCTTTTTAATGTCAAAAAAAATACTTTCTTTTAGTGGAACAATATTTTAATTAAAAGTTCTAAAATAAACCTGTTGCACACTGATTTTATTGTGCACTAAGAAAAGATGATTGTTATACCATAAAAAAGTATCTGCACATACTTTTAAAAAAATTGGGTGTATAATAAATCCGTTGAAAAGTTATCTTAAAAAATTACCCCAACTTAGATAGAAGTTACCCTAGTATAAATGAAAGTTACCCCGGTTATTTATAAGTAAATTATGCTTTATCGATATTAGTACACTCTTTAAATAAGTAAAAATCAAATCTCAATCAGTGACTAATAATATCAACCTTAAAAAGCTTTGATTATATATATATATATATATATATATATATATATATATATATATATATATATATATATATATATATATATATATATATATATATATATATATATATATATATTAGAATCATACTAGGTTAAAAGTTACCCTAAAGAAGTTTAAAAGTTACCGTACCCCAAATCAGCTAAACGTAGATTACCTTAAAACTATTCGTTGTACACTAATATTATTGTAAACCGGGTGCATACAAAAGTTTTTAAATTATTTATACGAAATTAACTTTGATTATACCAAATTACCTTGGGTTGGATTAACTGATCAAATTTCCAATAATGTTTTAGGGAACCTTTCTTAGCTTAATCAATTGATTGGTTCGGTTCCAGATTTGAAGATTAGTATCTTGCTGTTCAATGCGGCTCATAATTTGTTACTCCCTCTATTTCATAATAATCGCAATAATAGGTATGATTGTATGACATATAATTTTAGAAAAATTATTGGGTGGGGTTCAAAGTAGGAGTTTAATAATATAAAGTATACTTGAAAGGGATATATTTAATTGTTAGTAGGAGAGTAAGAAATAAATAAAAAAAGTAGTGTAACCGTGTAAGTGGGGTTGGTAGGAGAAAAAAATAATAAAATAGTAGTGGGCTCTTAACAACTAAGAAAGTGTTACAATTTTTATGAAACGGAAACAAATGGAAAATATTGCGATTATTACGAAACGGAGAAAGTAATTGGGAGTATCCTTTCACAATTTTGCAGATGTTGTCCACGGTATTCGAAGGGAATTCACTATCCACTTGTAGCACAAGTGAACCTTCTGCTAAGCTGAAAGATAGTGCTGGTGGTGGGGAGAGAAGAAGAAGAAAATTTTGTACATAAAATACAATAAGTTATTGGTAAATAAGATCATATAATCCAAGTATTGTAAGAGTACTAAAAATGATTGTATCAAATCAAAGATGATTAAAATTATAATATCCGTATTTTTTATAAGTATTTTCTAATTTATTAATTAGTAATTATTTCTTAAGAAGGGTATTTTGGTAATTTAATTAATTATTTGAATTTTGGAGCGAAAAGTATAGGCGCCAAATCCATTTATAAACTTAATTATTATTTTGGATAGAATTAATTATCCATTAGTTAAAAACTAAACATGCCTAAACTATGTTATCCCCTAGGAATGCCGTATCAGTAGTATAGTAGTGAGCATACACTGTGTTTATCACCTTGCTAGACTTCCTGGTGTTGCTAACTTCACCTTTGATCACGAAAATCTCGTAGCACTCAAGGCCACATACCGTGCTCATAACAACAAAGACGAAAAAAGAGACCCATAAAGGAAACATAATTGCCATTTTGTAAGTAAAACCAAGTACTATGAGCATGTAAAGAGCCAAAATGGAAAGCTTCAACAAGTATTTTGTCTTAGAGTAGCACTTTTTCATGTATGGTAGCTGATAGTAAGCTTCTCGGAGTTCCTCCAAAGCAACGTAAGCAATACACACGAAGAACGCAAAAGCTACCATGGGAAAGTCCCCTTCGGTGTATGCCGTGAGCGCAGTGAAGATGCACTGGAGAAGGAAGAGGTAAATTCTGCAGGTTTTCAAGGGAAAGTTACTGGTTTGATATTTGGGCATTATTGTTACACAGACAGGGTGCAGTAAATTCATCAGGTAGAAGTGTTGAGTTGCGATATGATTAAATTATGTTAAAAATATATAGGCAAAGAGTCAATGGAACTAGGAAATTGCATCCAAGCTACACAAAAAATCTTTTGGTTAGGGCAACGAAAGTGACAGGAATTTACTAGGAACTTTCTTTGAAATTTATCCTCTCTTCCCTAGAAAAAACATAGTACAATGACTTATTTCTTTCTCCACTTTTTTAGTTTTTACTGTAGTTGTTTTTTTGTTAACTTTATATTTTAACAATTTAACATTACTTAAATGCTAAAATGTTAATAGCTTTGAAAAAATTATACTTCGTAAAAAAAGGTAACTGTAAATTATGCAACAAAATAATTCCTTTTTTTTTTTTTTTTTTTTTTTTTTTGAAAGAAGTCCTAAAATGATATTATATCTCATCAATTAAAGTCATATGACATCTACAATTGACAATAAACGATAATGAAAACAGATCTAACAAAATCAAACAAGAATTAATAGGGAAAGAGCTAAGGATCCAAGTACATAGATATAACAATTCGCCACATTCTCAATTCGTTGTCTCATACAACTTTTTGAGTAGATTCGTCGCCGCTTCATAATTCCGTGAGAAAGAAAATTCTTGTGCTGATTTCGTACTTCGAATCCAATCAGTAATCAATCGTAGCCTTGCACAACTGGAGACCAAATTAAGCGCAAATAAAACCTTGTCTTTCGAAAGAGTTCGAAAAACCTTGTTTTTTGAAAGAGATCGAAAAAAACCTTGTGTTTTGAAGGAGATAAAACTTTTCTTTCGAGGGAGATATTATTATAACCTAAGAGACAAAAAATGTACAAGAAACAAAGATTGGGGCTTTCTACTAGTGAAATCCGATGGAAGCCCCTTCAAAATTGACAATAAAGGCTAGAGTTTTGGAGAGAGAAAAGAGAGAGGAGGCTAGGGTTTTTTTTTGTTTCTCTCTCATTCTATTAGTTACTTATTTAACAAAATAATCCTAATAAGATACCACACAACATAGTCAACAATGTATTTCCCAATTATAAATTGTCAAAGATTACAACTAAAAATACTACCTCCGTTACATATTAGTTACAACTTTGCCAAAACGGATACATTAGTTACAACTTTTGCCAAAACGGATACATTAGTTACAACTTTCCATTTTTAATAAGTATAATTCAATAAAAGTACAAAAATAGCCTTACTAAAGATTTTATAAACACAATTAGTTACCCAAATCAGATTTCATTAATTCCTTATCTAACTTATTTAACATAATATAATATGATCACCCAATTAAATCAACAATCATAAAAAATCATTCAACTTCTCTTTAAAATAAAAAAATAAAAAAATATTCATTCAGCTTCCATCTTCATCTCCCACGAAATAGACCACCACCTTTACCGTTGTCGTCGCCGTCGCTGCATCTACCCACCATCTTCAACATCGTCGATGCTCATCACCACCGTTAAAGTCGTCGTCGCCTCCTCCTCTGTTGTTCCTCTCTCTCTCTCTCTTCTTTTTTTTTAAAACTAAAAAACAATTGTTTAGATCTGATGGATTGATGGGTAGGCTAGTTTGGGATGCCTCGAGGCAGTTTATGGGTGGATTAGGTTGAGTGAGGGTGGTTTCGGTGTGGTTCAGGGTGAGAGAAGGTAGTTTTGGGGCGATTCAATTAGGTGAGTGTGGGTGGTTTTGGGGGTGCGTGACGGTGGTTGTTCTGGGTTGGTTTTGGCTGAGAGGGTGCGGTTTCAAGGTGGTTTAAGTTGAGAGGGGGTAGTTTTAGAGTGGTTTGGGCTGAGAGGAGGTGGTTTCGTGGTTGTTCAGGTGGAGAGGGAGTGGTTGTTCGGGTGTGTGTGGGTGGTTTCAGGGTGGTTTGAGTTGAGATGGGGTGGTTTCAGGGTGTGAGGTGGGTGGTTTCGGGGTGGCTGTTATTGGGCTACGGTGGTGGGCTCGGTGCTATTGGTGGTGTGGTTACTATTGATTAATTACCTTCACTTTCCTACCTTAGTTAATTACCTATTCTTTAATTTATTAATCAACCATTATGAAATTTTGTCATGAAATTTGTGTCGGGCTAAAAGTTGTAAATAATATGTAATAGAGGTGGTAAATAAAGGAAATAATAGTTTGTTTGCCATTGTAGCTCTACATTTTACTAATCCCTCTCGGACTTAAATACTAGACCACATTTGACCAAGGTCATGTTTACAGAAATTAAGCTACATTACCAATTTATCATATTTATCTTACTTGTATAAATATTTTTCCCAACTTGTTTAGGGTATGGCTGACCATACCGTGTGACCACTTATAAAAGAACCGAGTAACACCTGTAACATTGACCGAGTAACCCATATAACACTGACTAAGTAACCATGTGGTTGGCCATATAAGAATTACAGGAAATGTCAATAGTCCAATTGCCCAAACCAAACGCCCAATAGTCCAATTGCCCAAACCAAACGCCCAATAGTCCAATTGCCCAAACCAAACGTCCAGACTAACTCATAAAAAACTCACCAAACTAATCACAAAGAAACTTCTTTTAACAAATCTTTCTTGTTTTTAGGCAGGGGTGGATAACCGTAGAAGGGTTGTAATTATGGGTTGTTTGGTTGAACTTCTTGGAATAGGTTGGAATGAATTTAGAATTCATTTCGTGGTTTTATTTGTTTGATTGAGCTATTTAAGTATGAAATCTCATAGATGGGGGATTCTAACTCCATCCCATTCCATTAAAATCTCATACCCACCTAAGGATTAATAATCCATACTACAACTCAAGTATGAGAATCCATTCCATATTTAAACCAAATAACTTTAGATTAGTATGGGATATAGAATCCATACCACCCAAGTATGAAAATCTATACCAATCCATTCCAGCTTAGTGAACCAATAATGCAGTATACATTAAGGAAATCTGTCTAGAAATAATAACATTTCAATTACGCAGTATACAGTAAGGAAATCTGTCAAGAAATAATAACATTTCAATTACGCAGTATACATCATACATGAATAACTTTCGTGTATCTATTATAAAAATGCAGACTACAAACCTGAATGTGTTTCTGAATTTGCTGTTGCTGGTGGAAGCTATCAACAACCAGCTTTGACAGAGACTACTAACTATATTAAATCAAAATTCGCGAAACAAAAATTAGCTCTATCTATAGATTACTCATTACACCCAACCAGCTGCAAAATTTGCCAAATTCATAAATGAAAACTCGATTTTACTACAATCTCAATCTGGGCCTAACAAAACTAACACTGAACAGCTGCATAAACTCATCATACTTCCCAAGTAGATGAAAGCCAGGCCTGTAGAAACGGATGATCCACCAGAGATGAAAGTTGAATAGAGATGATACGCATCATGAAAGCTTTCTTGAGAGATTTTTTAAACCAAATCCCACACATTTAAGTATGACAGTGCCTGTTGAAGGATCAGGCTTGATGGCAAATTTCACATTTAGAAAGTCTTTTATGAGCCTCAACGCTTCTATTCCATAAGGTGAAAGCAAACCCACACGGATTTTTGATACATCTTGAGGACACAAAGCACAAAGAAGAAATAACAAGCCCTGCAAAAGCAGTATAATAGAAAGGAATGGGTAGTTAGTAAAATAGGATTTCAGAGAGCAAACACCACTATTAACACAGATGAAAAGCAACATGAGCCCTGTTCACCACTCTTTTCAGACCTTAAGTCTACTCTGTATAGTGTGGACTGACCCAGAGTCGAAGACAGTACTAGATAGGATATTAGAGACATTAATGACAATGTAACTAAATTCTGAAACTTTCAGTCTCAGCAAATAACAATTCACAAGAACAATACTTGCTTCTTAGGATATTTTTTTTCCCATATCATATCAGATTATCAGCAGTTACTGCTCAGCCAAAATATTTCATATAGTTCAGCTTTCGAAATATGTTTAAATTAATTGAGGTTATCTTTGTCAGATACAAGTATATATCACAAGCAAGGAACTTTAGGATAACCTGCTATATAAAGAGGTAATTTGATATCTTTCCAATTAAGGAGCCAAAGTGTATACACCAATCACAGTCATGTCTCATTCTAAACGATAGCAAAACCACCACTATGATTCCAAAGGATGGTAAAAATATACTATCATTGTTACATTCAAGGCCAGTTAGCTTTCAGTTCATTTGATCTCCATACAATACTGCTTGAAAACAAGTTCTATAGCGTTCAAAGTAAATATGGAGTACTATGTAGCATTTTTCTCATGTTGTTATAAACTAATAGACCATTTTTCACTTGGTAGTCAAAACAAAGTCTAACCATCAATCTGTCATACTAAAACAATCATTTCAAAAATGCAATAACTCAACTTATATTAATCATGTTCAAACCTTTTTTTTCCTTTACTTTTTTATTTATTTTTTTTAAAGAAAAAAATTATACAGATTATCTTTCAATGAGAATTGTAACATGCAGCAATGGTTAAAAACTTAAAATCAATATAAACATCACATGTAATCTATTGGTGTAAAAACCACATAACATATGAGTTCTAATGATTGTTGATAGCACAAACCTGATGTGTAGAGTCTACCACTCCCCCCTGCTCGATTTCATTTAATAAAGCAGAAGCTATTTCTATGCCAACATCCTCGGGCGGCTTCAGGTCTATCTTTTCTTCATCTTCATTCTCATCCGTCTCATCTTTTCGTGGATAAGAAACAGCAGTATCAACAGAAATGTAGCATCCAGAAGTAGTTTCAGCAACCAGTGAAATCCCAAAGCCAGGGGAGCTAAACCAGAATCAGATATCCATACAAAATAAATCATCAGAACTCAAAGACTGGAGGCACAAATCATGATTTTTTTTTTTTTTTGTTGATGTGTACATTCTCATCATACTATAACCAAAATAATGTCTAGAGTATCAGCCTTCATGTGCATGTACCATGTACTTTTGAATGGAGTGAGACATTACAGATAAATGGAAGCAAAATCTTACTTTCCAGCTTGTACACCACTCTTGTGATCAGTGAAGATGTGGACATCAGGAATCAAGCGATTGAAAATACCACGAGCAGCATGTATAATTGTATTTTCAAACTGTGATGATACTCGAGTAGAAAAGGACACCCCTCTGATGCGCTTTACCATTCCCTCATCGACCCAGTTTACTGCCTGAAGAAGAGAATATATTAGATATACTTCTAATGAATCATGGAAAAGGCTAAGTAAGTAAAACCTACCGTTAAACTACTATGCACAATTGGTACCGACAGAACTACTTCTCCACCACCTAGAGGAGGTACCCCACGGTTCTCAATTTTCAGTTCCAGACCTTCAGAAGGAACTCCAAAGCGTTTCAGAATGTTCAAGGTAGTTGACCGGAAAGTGTCAATGGAAGGATCCTTAGAATCATTTGTAATACCTGATGAAAACATGACATATGTCACTTGCATTCTAAAACCAGAGCAGCAACTTCGAAAGATTAAGAAGCACAGTTCTCAGTTAATTTCCTAGCTAAGAGAAAGTACCAGAAAGGGACAAATGTTAACAGCCAGTTCAGGTAAAGAAGCGCACACAAACAAAAAATCTTCCTCACCATTGGTAGATGGTTTATTCAGTTCCTCCCTTCAATGTCTCTCATTCCTATTGAGCTCTTTGTCTCTTCCTGTGTCTATATGGGTAAGTTTTAAGGACCCTAATAAGCTAATGATCCCATTTGACAGGTTTAATATGCTATAACATTAGCTAATTTACTGTTTTCCAACTCATTTCTATATAAGCCAACTAAGATGAGTTAATTCATGACAGCAGTACTCATATATTTCTGTACTGAGGTCAAGGAGATCACATAACTAGGGACATCAATACCAAAAACAACATGCTGAAAGGTGACCAATAAACTCAAGGCATGAACGTCAAACAAATTAAACCACAAATTTCCTTGAAACTGGACAAAAAAAATTCCGAAATTGCATCCACAATCCAAAAGAACAACATGCACATAGTTCCCTAAGCGTTACAATTTTTTTTTTAAAAAAAAAAAATTCTTGATAGAAGACCACTCATGTTTGTTATAGAATCACACCTTTTAACACCATTTTTTACTCAACAACGATAAGAATACCCTTTTAAACGCACACATATAAACACTCAACAAATAAAATATGAAAGCATAGAAGTAAATGATATAGATGAATAATAATAAAAAATACAACCCAATTAATCAAGTCAAAAGTAAATGAGGTTCGAATTAAGTAATACTGGTACAACATTAATCATGTAAAAATTTAGCTAATAAGTATAAATTAATGCAACATTTGACCCAAAAAAAATAATAAATCAAACCCATTACAACAAATTGTATATACTAACAAATTTCTACAAAAATCTGAAAAGGGGAAGAATTCTGACTGAGCTTAATGGCAGCTGAAGCTTTCTGGGTTCAGAGGTTGCTGGTTATAAGTTAAGGAATTAGGATTATAAACCCGAGTATAAAATTGATTCTGCTTTTTATTTATCATTTAAAAAAGATGAATAGATATTGGAAGAGGATTGACTACTAGAATTATTGAATAATGAGAGAGATTGTTATTCAAGCAGTAGAATGAACTCTGCTAATCTCACTCGACTCACAGTACTCAAGTAAAAGATGCAAATCAATTTGTAAAGAGCATACAAGAGCCTAAACTCTTACAAGTCATAAAACAACCAAAATCAAAAGCGAATAACACAACACGAAAGAACTCGAATCAAAGAAACTAAAACAAAATAATGGCAATACCTTTAAGCCTAATTGAAAGGGGCTTCTTCCCAAATAAACCCAAAACCAAAAGTGGTTCCAAGAAATAACCAATTGAACGACTCAACCCACAATTATGAGTTAAGAATTTCCCACCCATTATAATCCCAGGCTTGTACTTCAATTTTGTACCTGCAACAACCATCAATTAATCAAAATCAATTATTAACCCCAGAAAAACCCTAAACCCCAATTGATGGAAAATGTTGTAATTGATACCAGTTTCGTTGATTTCAACATGACAATCATCGCAGACTTTTTCGATGAGTCGAAGAAGAGAGATTTCGTGGGGACGAAGGCCGGGAATGGTTTCATTAGATCGAATGTCGTCAATGAGAATAGGAGTCGAAGAAAGAGTAGAGAGAAGAAGACGAAGTCTTAGATTTTGGCTGCCTTGAAATCTCTTGTAATTTGTTTTCGCCATTTTTGGAGTGTTTGAAGGTCTGACGGTCGGCAAATATAGGCGTGGGTTTCTCTTCTTTATCTATGTCAGCGGGGGTAATGCTTACAGCTTACCCTTACATGGTACTTCGTATTTGCTATGCTCATATGCTGTATAATCGAGTAAGTAAGGAGCTAAAAATGAAAAAAAAATAGGGTTTTTCTAAGCTATACCCCTAATGTAGTCGAGTTTCTAAGGTGTACCCATGCTTTTTTAAGTTTCTAAGCCGTGTCCTTCAACTACTTATCAATACTAAAGTGTACCCTTATTAGTTGTTTAAAAGTTAATTGAGAGTGTGATTTCGTGGCTTCAGTTTTCGTTATTAGGGTTGCGGTGGCTAAGATTTCTTTCTCCTATCATTTCCTTACCTTTTATCATCTTTTTATTAAGGGGGTTGTTAAACGTCGTTGACAATTTACTAGGTGACGTTGACATTATTTACAAGAATTTCCTAAATTGCCCTCCGTATATAAATACTCGATAAAGTAAGTTAGGGCATTACGAGACATTTCCCATCTCACAAAAACACTCTTTGACACTTTCTCTCTCTAAAAAAACCAAAAATTCTGAAATTTTGGAAAAAAAAAACCAGATTTTTTTTTTTTTAAAAAAAAAGCAAAATAGTTGAATCTGACGATGGCAGACCGACGGAGAATTAGGCTGACGTTTGGTGGTCGTGGTGGCGGCGTTAGTGGCGGCGAGCCGGTGAGTTTTTCGTTTTTGTTTTAAATTTTTGAATTTTGAAAAAAAAAATTCTGGAAACTGGACTTCCGCCCAGAAATTCCGGAAGTCCAGGGAACTTCCGGAAATTCCAGGCGGAAGTAGGGTTTCCGCCTGGAATTTCTGGAAGTTTTCTGGACTTCCGGAATTTCAAGGCGGAAGTCCAGTTTCCAGAAATTTTTTTATTTTTTTGATATTCCCCTTTTTTTTTATTTTTTTCTGTTTTTCCATTGTTTTTTTTTTCTGTTTTTCCTTTGTTTTTTAATTTGGTGCATGTTTTAATTTGAAAATATTTGTGTCCTTCATTTTTTTTTAATTATTTTTTTGTTTTTTTTTTTTGAAGTAATTTGTGTCCTTCATTTGTGGCATTAAAATAATTTTTTTCTTGATTTAGTTTTGCAATAGTTATTGATATGTAATTTTTGTTGATTTAGTTTTACAATAATTATAGTTTAGCAATAATTCGTGATTTTATTTTAATAAGTTTGTTGTTGCTATGTATTGTTATTGTTATGTACATTTGGTTTGGTTTGTATTGGTTTTTGCTGCTGTTGTTGTTATGTATTATGGTTGTTTACTTAAATTGTTGTTATTGTTATTGTAATTGTTTTTTTATTGGGTTGTTATCGTTGCGTTTAAATTTTGGCAGTTTTGTGGTTAATTATAGTTTTGATTTGGTCTGTTATTGTGTTGAAATTATTTGTAGTGTGTTAGTGTGTTGTTATTGTTAGTAGTGTACTAGTATTGTAAGAATAATATTATTGTTATTATTTGTAATGCTGTTATTATTGTTTATTTGATTTGATTTATTATAGTTTTGATTTGATTTTTTTTACTATGAATTATTATTGAAATATGATTCTGTACTTATTTTTTTAATGCAGATTGAGGGTTCTGGTCCTCGTCATACAAGATCAAGACGTTTGAATGCGTCTGTTAGGAGGGAGTTAGGTGGTGCAGGACCTTCACATGCACCGTTTCAGCATGAGCAGCAGTATGGGACTGCTGGTGCTTGGTCGGGGGAGCACCAGTCACAGGGGAGCGCCCCCATGTATTCGTCTACTGGAGTGCCTTCATCAGATCGGGAGGAGGATGAAGAAGCAGGAAGTCAATCTGCTGGAGATGCACAGTACGACCCTCAGGATTACCGTACTGTGTATAAGGGTGACCATGGGAGATATGTTAGCAGTAGTGAACCAGGTCAAGCTTCTACTAGCTCGTCAGAGCCATGGGTGGTGCAGGGGCCGATGGCAGGTGGGCCTGAGGATGGTACCGTTATTCCGAGTTTTGGGGGTCACGTGTCTGCTTACATATGGGCTGGGCAGGAGCGAAACGTGCTGCGGTGTTTGAGCAGGACACAGTTGTGTTCTGAATTGGGTAACTGGCGCGCTCGTCTTTCGCCGGAGCACCTGGAACCGATTGATGGCACTGGTCTATCTCATTTACCCGGGACCATGTTCCGACGATTTGACTGGCCCTTAATTTCTGCTTTTGTTGAGAGATGGCAGCCAGACACGAACACGTTTCACATGCCTTTTGGGGAGATCACGATCATGCTGCATGATGTGTATCATATTCTAGGGCTTCGTGTCGACGGTTCCATGGTTTCCACTACTCCTAGCACGGACGTTTTACGGGACGCGTGCTCGGTTACCTTGGATATGACTGAGGAAGAGCTGAATGAGAAGTGCGGTACCAAAACCGTGTGGCAGGGTAGTGGGGTCCTGACTGAGAGGATAGTGGAGTCGACCTTGGAGGCGCAGAGGCCCTTCAGTAACCATTACAGGGCGTACCTGTGGTTAGTACTCGGCGGTTGTTTGTTTTTGGACAAGAGTGGAAACCGTACTCATCCTTCCTTCCTCAACGAGCTGTTTGTTGAGGATGTTCAGATTAGTGAGTACTCCTGGGGTTCTGCTGTGCTAGCATACATGTACCGGCAATTGGGTACAGCATCACGAAGAGATGCTGATTCTATCGCTGGCTGCCTTACGCTTCTGCAGGCGTGGATCTACGAGTACTTTCCGTGTTTCCGGCCTCAGCAGGGGACCTTGACCAGAGAGCTTGCTATTCCTCGTGCGTCCGCCTGGGATGTTGGATCGGGGTGCCCTAACAAGAGCATGGAGCGCCTTCTCGCTTTTCGGGCTAGGTTGGATCAGTTGACTGACAATGAAGTTAACTGGCTACCGTACGGAGTTGATCCAGCACGACGCGTGCCTGCTACTCTTTTCATTGGCTGCATCCAGTATCGTACCATCATTGAGCCATACATGCCTGATCGAGTGGTTCGACAACTTGGATACATACAGGGCATTCCACCAGCCATTATCAGGCCTGAGAAGGCTAAGAGACCGACGAACTTGAAGATGTATCGGGTTGACTTTCCGCCAGAGATGACATCTGTGATGTGGAATCGGTTTGTCCCTGGTATGTCTTTTAGTGTCGTGGTAGGTGCCCTGAGCAGACTTGGTGGTGGTGCTCCTACAGTCGGTCCTGGTTACATGCAGTGGCTGTACCGATTTTCTCATCCACGTTTTTCTCCAGTTGCGTCAACACATGAGAGTCGCACACTGCCAGAGAGGACTAACACGGATTACGTAAGTAGTTGTACTTTTTGCTATAATTTAATAAGTTGCTATTTTAATATGTTGTTTATAATATGTTGTTTTTAATATGTTGTTTTTTTAATTGAAGTGGATGGGTCGGTCTATGGAGGTCATCAACAGGACCCTGGAGGAGTATCCGAGCCTATCGCGTGATACAAGAGCAATGGCTGAGGCGCTACGAGCTGATTGGAGGGCGATGATGGGGTTGTGAACTTCCTGTTTTTTTTTTAATTTTCCTTGTACGCATTTCGTTTATGTACTATTTATTCGTCCCGTATATGAAGTATTGAACAACTGTTTTGGTGGTTTTCTAAATATTTTGTTTAATTAAGTTCAATTCGTTTACATTTTACATAACGACTACATAACGACAACTGCTTTACATTTTACATAACGACAACTGCTTTACATTTTACATAACGACAACTGCTTTACATTTTACATAACGACAACATGTTCACTATCTAATTAAGGCATCCCACATGTTCCTTCTAGCTTCGTAACGCTGATCCCAACCGTCAACACTTGGGTCGTGGTGCTCGGTCCACCAACCTGCAACCGGGGGAAGTGGCGAATCAGGTGCAAGTTCAAGACAAATAAAATGTGAGGCCCCAACTGTAGCGATGACAAACTCTCGCTCCGGTGCTGTGACCCCCCTTCTTGCCCGCAACGGCAATATCGTGAGGCATGGGTAGTAGCAAGTCGGTGTTTGGCCTACACCAAGAATAATAATCGCTGCGTTGAACCACGTCGCAATAGGAAATAAATCTTGTATTGCAACCATCCAATGACGGGAATCAACCGCCCCACCGTCCCATCGAATACGCTGCACATTGATCTCAAGTCTTCCAAGCCCATAAATCCTCTCATATAGGGCTCGATAACCGAGGACCTCATTCGCTATTGTCTCTCGAGCGTCATACCATCGGCCTTGATCACCGAAGAAGAACTCGGCCACACAACGAAACCCACAGTTCCCATCGCCAATGACATCCTTCCATCCTGTGATGTAAGGCAACATCGGCCCTGGAAGCATGTGTCGATAACGGCTTTGGCTAATGTCGTTTACATCTCCTGCACAAATGTAGGTTTCAGTTAATAATTTAGTGAACGCTGATTTATGTGAAAAACACAACACTCAATCGTACCTGTTTGTCGTGCGCCGCGTACAGTGTGTTGGCGGTTTACATGTTCAAAATAAGAACGATCACGTCTTGTATCATTGTGTCTTGGTCGACCACGAACCTGGTGGTTTGCAGCAGGCTCTCTGAGATCGGAATGATCCGAATGCAGCTCCTCTTCAATGATGCGAGACACGTTTCGAAGAACAGCAGGATCACTATCAAACACCTCATCCATCAGAGAACGAAAATGTGCGGCATCCTCGGTCGAGTCATTGTCAGGCACCGTCCCGTGCTCTCCAGAACCAATAACCAAGGTCCTCCAAAACGGGTGAATTTGCCTTATGTACAATCCTGTCCCAGCAGCTAGCGAATCATGTATCTGGCATGCACAGGGCAACCCGTGGGTCACACGCATTGCACATCCACATCGTTCGTGCACTTGATAACTCAGCTCCCTCATCCTCCTTGTCTCCTCATCGAGAACCTTCAAACAATGCTGAGACACCTTCCCGTTTATACGTGACAGCGGCAACTGTCGGTACTTTTGACCTATCTTCGACCTAGAAGCCTCCAAACCATTACGAATTGCGATGATTTGATTACCAATGTGGCTATGAACTCGAGCCCATACAGTATCCAAAGAACCTGCACATTACAAAGAAAAACAGTTATGATTTGTAACTGAAATTCCTGCACAAATAAAAGTACATACATGAAGTACAATTAGCAAACACCAAACCTGTCGAGGAATCAAACCACATCTTCACGGCCGAATGTTGGCTCTCAACTCTGCAAGTGCTGGTGTTGCCATAATGTAGAACTTGGTTTGTCCAAAATGTCACGAACTTCGTTTTATGACAAAGCCATGTGTTCTCTACATATTGTATCACTGCTGGAAAGCTTGCCCACTTATCCTTCATGTTTTCTACAGCGGCCTCATAATCTTCCTCGGTTTCAGCGTCCATGATACGTTTCCATTTCCGTTTTTGAAAGACGCACCGATTTTCTTGCTTTTGAACATAGCAGTGACCCGAGCCTCCACATCTTTGTTAATGTGCCATCGACAAAGTAAGTGCGAGGTTCCTGGAAACACTTCCCTCAATGCAGCACATAGCCCAAGCTCACGGTCTGTCAAGAAAACCGACGGCTCCTTATTATACCCAATCATGTCTCTCAACCTCTGCAAAACCCATCGATAGCTTGCCGTGCTCTCGTTGCGCATGAACACGTAAGCGACGAGAAAATTCTGGTTTGTCGGTGTCACGCTAACTATCTCAAAGAACGGCATCCCGTATCGGTTAGTCTTGTAAGTGGAATCCATACCGATCACATAGGGGTACGTCCGTAGGATGTCTACCATGACTGGGTGCACCATAAAGGCGTGCTGTAAAACGCCTTCATCATCGGACATGACCCAGTAAACATACTGACTCTGTCTCGCCAAATGTAGAAATTGCTGAACAACTCCTCTCCCATCAGACATCTCCTCTCTGAAGTCATTCCGGCAGTTGTAGATGTGTCTGATGTTTGGATGATCAGCAGGAAATTGCTCCGCAATAGTCGCCATGATGTTACGCGGTGCAACCTTAGACTTCGTCATGTCACGCACAACCTGCTTCGCATTCGGGCTCAACCCACTAATTTTACGATGACCCTCTGGATACGCAATCATTGGATGGTTGTGGGTCCCAGTTACATCATCTTTCGCCCGGATAAACCAAGTATTGGTGACGAACTCGTAACATATCTTGATGTAGAAAGGACAACCAATGCCCTTGGTTTTGGTGTCCTTCCGAATTGCGTTCTCAAGATCTCTCGGCTTACTCCTGCGTCCCCGGTCACATCTTAAATATCGAACTAGTCGACCATCCCTCTGTTTGTTGAAAGACGATTTCACCAAAATAAATCCCAGATTTATTGCAACAGCATCCGCCCATGTAAATGCATCGTCAAACGTTAGAAAAACTGTGTCTGTCACAAAATGTGCACTGTAATTCACAACGTCACCGTCGTTTTCAACCTCCGAATCCTATCAAAATAACAACACAAACAAATAAAACACGCAAGGATTAGTATTTTAAATTTAACTATAATAATAACAATAATAATACAAATAATCATAATAATAATAAAAATAACAATAATAATATTAATAGTATTAATAGTATTAATATTAGTAATAATAATAATAATAACAATAATAATAATAATAATGATAATAATAATAACAATAACAATAACAATAATAATACTAATAATAATAACAACAATAACTACGTAACATTAACATATAATAACTAATATAATAATAATAACAACAATAGTAATAATAATAGTAATAATAATATTAATAATAATCATAATCATAACAAAAATTTACAAAAGTAATAATAATAATAATAATAACAATAGTAATAATAATAATAGTAATAATAATAATAACAATAGTAATAATAACAATAACAATAGTAATAATAATAATAGTAATAATAAAAATTTACAAAAATTTACAATAGTAATAATAATAATAATAATAATAACAATAACAATTACGTAAGAACAAAAAAAAAAAGGGACATCCGCCTATTTTTTCCGGAATTCTGGGGGAGATCCGCCCAAAATTCCCGGATGTCCCTACATACATCCGGAAATTTCAGGCGGATGTACCCATCCGGATGAAATTTCCGGATGTCATGGGGGACATCCGGAAATTTTGGTCGGATCTCCCCCATGTTTCCGGAAATATAGGGCGGATGTCCATTATCATAAAAAAAAAATTTCCGAAATACTTACAGATTCTTCCGTCGAATCCTCCGGCGTGTGAACGTTGTCGTCGTCCATCGTAAAACACCACTCCGTACAATTTTCTTTTATGCCCCGGGATTTTTAAATTCCTCGGGATTACCGTACAATGGTGGAACCGGGATTTTTTAATGCTCGGGAATTTTTTAAACACAAGTGGTGGGCTCGGTAGTGTTTTTATGTTGTGGGTAACTAATTTACCCATGGTGGACCTTTAAATAGGTAAAATACCCACAAGGGCAAAAATGTAATTTCAATTAAAAATGTTAACGTCACCCAGTAATTTGCGAACGACGAATAGCAATTCAGTTTATTAAACTTATAGTTAACTTTAGGTGACATGGAAGTCCCTAGGAGGGTACCATTCATTAATGGTAGTGAGTTGAGGGGCATAACTAAGAAATTTGAAAAAGCATGGGTACACCTTAGAAACTCGACTACCTTAGGGGCATAGCTTAGAAAAACCCAAAAAAATAAAAATAAAAATATCACATTAATTATAAATATAATAACAACGATGATTTCATCAAATGTCACTAAATAATTATTGACATCTCATGCCACTAATGATATTTGGACGTTGATTCTTGTTAATGCGTTTTTTAATTCACCAAATGTCATTACTTTTTTAAATTAATACGGAAAATTCCCATTAGTATACCTCTGGTTCTGACTTTTTCCAATGGTACACCACTTAATTTTTGACTTCTTAATGATATACCCCAGGTTTAGACTTATTAACTAACGTGATTAATCAGTTAAACAAACGTTAATAAACCCATAATACTGATGTTTAACTTTAAAAAATTGAAAAGACTAAACTAACCCCCTTTTAAAACTTTTCCCTCCAACTTTTTCCCCCTTTTTTTTATAATCGATCCATTTTCCCACAAATTTCTATGTTTCTCCCATTTTTATATACTGCAATTGCCCCTGCTTCTCACCCATCCCTTTCATTTTCTGTTTTCTCTTGCTCAAATTCCATGGCTTCTTTTTGCAGGGGGAATGGTAGGGGCATGTGGTTTAGACGCATATACTGCAACTGTGTTCCTACTAGGGCTGCTGATATTCGATTTTCTGACACAATCTCAAATCCAGGGAGGCCTTATTACAAGTGTAGGCATTGTGGTCTGTCCTTATGGGTTGTTGAAGACAAGATTATTAGAGAAACAGAGCTTAGTTATGCTAATCATGATGAAATGTCGTATGTGAAAAGTGTTGAGAGAAGAGTTTGCTGAGTTTACACAGAAGGCAGAAGAGTTTGCAGCTTATATCCATAAGGTTGTTAAGATTACTATTGTAATGTACTGATTGTACTGGTAGTTGCCCTAAAATAAGTCATGTCAGTGGTTAAATTTATGTATGGAGTAACTGGTATTACCTAATGAGTATTTGAATAAGAAGAGGAATGAGTATTGCAATTTATATTACTGCATTCTCTCATACATTTGCTAGAACTATGACACATGAGATCCAATAAAAGCTTCAATTTAATTGCTGCATTATCCAATAACCTCCAAAACAGGTTCATTACAATCAAAGCAAAGTTTAGCATAAAAAGCTAACTGATATGTTCAAAACCTAACAATCAAAACCATCTTAGCATCAAAAACTAACTTTTGTGTTCAAAAGCAAGCACATTACATTCAAAAACCAAAGTTTTCATATTAAACTAAGCTTATTATCCCAACTAAATAAAAAACTATCATTGACTAATGTCTTCACAGCTGAGACTGAGACTGGGAAAATGGCTGACTTTGTAGCTGTGAAGCACTCAAGTTGGAGCTTCAGAGTTTTTCCTTTCCTTCCTCTCTTTTGAGCAGGCTGCTTTCCTTTCTTCTAAGCAGGCTCTTTTTCTTTCTTTTGGGCAGGCTGCTTCCCTTCTTCTTAGCAGGCTGCTTCTGCTTCCCTTTGCCTTTGTTGGTAGATGCTGAAGCCTCAGATGCTTTTGCTGCTGCCCTAGATAACTGTCTTTGCTGCATTAGACTGGTCTCTAACTCTTGGGTTCTTGATTACAATAGGCTCATCAGTTGCTCTTAACTCTTTTCCATTTGGACCCCGTTTGCATGTTCTTGTATTGTGCCCAAAACATCCACAATTTTGGCATTTGACTGTCCATGACCTTTTTCCTTGTTGCACCTCTCCTTCTTCTCTCTTTCTATTCCTAGAAGGCCTACCTATCCCTCTCTTCATTTTTAGAGGCAATATAGGATGAGGGGAGTCATCTTATGGCCATTGTTCTATATCAGGAATGGGGTTGATGTGAACGCTGTAGGCCTGCCTAAGTCTTGACAGAATACCAAGAACTCACATAGTCATGGGGGTCTCATTTTGCATCTACTAATTCTCTTATTGCATGCCTGCAGGATATTCCTGATAATTGCCAAGCCCCACAAGAACAGATCTTGCTGTTAAGGCTCATAGGGAATTGAGACTTTCCTTCATGGATCTCATATTCTCCTGGTTTTGACTTGAAAGACTTGCATGTTGAGCTTGCCTTGCCAATTTCCTTAACCATCTTTGCAATTTTAGGGCAAATATCATCTTCTTTCCATTTTAATCCATTTTCATGCTTGGCTACAATCCTAACCATGCACACCCTTCTTATCCCTGCAATTTGCAAACAGTGTATTAGGTTAAATTTTCCTTTTAAGCTAGTTAAAATAACAAAGAGACAGTATTGCATACCTTCAACAATGTTAGAACAAGCCTACACTTGTCAACTCCTAGAGTGGAGTTAAAGCTTTCCACAAAGTTAAAAGTGTTTGCATCATTTTAAACATTTAGATTAAACTTGTGCTTACTCCACTTGGATTGATCTCCCAATGCAAACCATTTCATCACCTCTTCCCCACCTTCCTTCTGTAACCTCTCCGTAGCCTTTTTGAAAGTAAATGCATTTGTGGTTTTACAAGCCCCTCCAAAACAGTATGTACATCAAAGGGCCAAGAAACACTTTCTTGTAGTTCCTACTTAGATGCCTACATCAATACCTCCTTTTTGCTTCTGGCCATAATTGCTCAAGTGCCAAATCAACCCCCTATGACAGTAATAACAGTGAATGACATATGTTACACTATCAGACTATTATTTGAATTTGAAATAATGCATTAATGAGGATGATAATTGAAAGTAAATAAGAGTGTGATTACCTTCTGTCTTTTCAGACATAATAGTCCAGTCTTTCCTCGAAGAGTCCTTGACAATATTCAACAAATGCCAAAAGAAGAAAGACCAACTCTCCTTAATTGTCTTCTACCCCAACTATTGCATAAGCTATGGGGTATATCTCATTATTGCCATCCAACCCAACTGCTGAAAGTAAGATCCCTCCATGGTTACCTTTTAGGCATGTTCCATCCACACCAATCAAAGGCCTACAACCTCTTAGATTACCTTTCCATTGTCCAGTGAAAGAAATGAAAATGCTATTAAATAGTCTAGGTCTCTCAACAGTTTCTAACTCATACCATGCACAAAAAGCCTTAGACTCTGAATTAGTAAGCATAATTACTCTAGCATACAATGGCAGCTTTGAGTATGATTCATCATGTCCACCAAACAACTCATTAATCACATAACTCTTCAATCTATACAGATTTGATTGCTTCATATAAATACCATATCTTAGAAACAACAACTCATTCAAAGCTTTACCTGGAATGTCTGGATTAGCTCTAATGTCTTCCATGACCTTCTGAGAAGCCCATTTGACATTACATATGGGTTATAAGTTTCCAACCCCCTGCATGTGTGAAATTTGTGCCAGTTTTTCTTAATAGCCCAAGTCCTTCCACCTGGTAACTTCCTAGCATGTATCCTCCATTCACAAGCTTCTAAAGAGCATATGGCAGTGTACTTCATGTTGTCTATTAAAACTACTGTGATTGCAAAACCTTCCTGCACAACATAGTCTTTAAGAGTGTCCTTGAAGTGTGCCTTGTCAGTGAACATCATCCATTGCCTGAGTTTTATTTTGCCAAATTCCCTATCTTCATACATCTCACCATTTTTGTATAAAGTATCAAAGTAGTCATCATCATTGTCATCATTTATGAAGCCATACCATTTGCTAGGCATCCAACTGTCTCTCACTCTTGGAAATCTTCTAACAGTCTCCAACTCATCAGCTGGAACATCTCTAGTTGGTATCATATCCCCATCCGAGTCAGCTGACTCATCACTCTCCTTGAACTCATCACTGTCATCTGACTCATCTTTCCCATCTGAGTCATTTTCATCATCTGGATCATCCCCATCATCAACAACAAAATTCATTTTCCTCCTCACTGGTGTATGTGCAGCTGCACTACTAGACTCACCTTGTTTAGTCAATGTCTAAAAACTAACCCATATACCCTTCCTAATAGTTGTGCTTTTAGGGATTCTCCTTTTGAATAAAAAGGGATCAGAAGGCTTACTAACTGGGGTAGCAGGAACAGTTACAGCAGGAGAAAATCTTGGACTCCTTCTAAGGGTTAAAGTCTTGAAGACTGTGTTTGGTGATACAGGGGAGGGAGGTAATTTCATTTGGGGGACCATGGGCTGGTTGGTAATAGTGGACTTAGACTTACTCTTGCCTTTCCCCCTTTTCAAACTAGCTTCAAATTCTTTCCTACCCTTATTATATTCCCTTCTAGATTGTTTCTCACTGTTTTCATAATACTCCTCTTGCAATTCTGCAAATGTACAATCAGTCATAATGAATTCATCTTCATTCACATAAATCTCATTAAGTGACTGTGCATTTGAACTTGATGCCAACTGAGACAACTCCTCACTATTCCTCCTAGATGTAAGTTTGGTCACTGGTGGTTGGGATGGTTTAGGTATGGTAGGCACTTCTGATTGGGATGGTTCAGATATAGTAAGCACTTGTGGTTGGGGTGGTTCAGTCAAGTTTTGAATTGGTGGTGGTGGTGCAAAGATCCAAGTTATGGGTGGTTGTTGTGGTTGCATAAGGTTAGAAACCGGTGGTGGTTCATATGCAGGAGTTTTAGATTTCCTAAACTTTAACACATATCTATTCAATGCACTTGGCTTGTTAGTAGTGACAACCCAAATATGGATGATGCCATCATTAGGGAAACATTTAAAACATTTTCAACAAGTCTTCATCATCTAAGAGTGGCCAATGTCTCTCTTTATAGGCATAATAAAAGGTGGGGTTAAGGATATCAAGTAGAGGAACCCAATAACGAGCACAATCCTCATATTCAATCACCAAATCCAACAAAAACAAGTATCCACATCCACATCAATATCTGTATCTTTTCCCATATAATGAAATCTGAACACCACATTACTGTCACCCATTCTGCAAAATAACATCACATCTAAACTCTTACAACATGCACCAACACATAATAAAAAATAACAACAATTCATTGTACAAAATTCATACTGAAATTTCACTTATCATTCAAAATTCACATCATCATTTACAATTCACATCATCAACCATAAACAAAGACTCTATTTTTCTATCATCATCGTGCTTTTTCATTAATTCACAACATAATCATAAAGCAAACAACAATCAAACCAGAAATTATCATCCATTTATAATTGTAACATCGAAATTCATCAAAAAACAAGCACAAGGTGGTGAATTACCTGGTAAGAGCAGAATTTCCTTGGATATTAACGCAATTCACAATTCACCATGCAACAAACCCTAGAAATTAGTTCGATGGAGTTTTTTTTTTAATGGAACAGGGGAGAGTGTTTTTCAGAGCAGTCTAATCGAAATAAATAGAAATTCAGCTGGGTTAAATATGGTTGGGGGGGAAGGGTTTAGGGGGGTAGTTTAGTGTTTTCAATTTTTTTTAAGTTAAACGTCAGTATTATGGGTTTATTAACGTTTGATTAACTGATTAATCACATTAGTTAATAAGTCAAAAATTAAGTGGTGTATCAATGGGAAAAGTCAGAACCAGAGGTGTACCAATGGGAATTTCCCAATTAATACACAATATACCTCTAATTTAATGAGTTATAACGGCTAGTTTGTTCAACCATATTTAATTTTTTTTGGAAAAACTAGCCATTACATTTGATTCTCACCCAATTTCTTGTATAAATAATACACTCAAAACACACAAAGCAACCCTATTTACATAATCGTGAGTTTGATATCAAACACATCCTCCTCAGCACCTACATGAGTATGCATATGTAAGAGTTCCAAACAAATTTTGCAATTGTGGTAGAAATATGCAATTAGAAGCTCGGAGTCAACATCAAATCCACAAAGGCTATATTATAAGTGCGATTCATGTAATAACTTCAAATGGTGCAAAGGAGTTGCTAATGAGACTGTATCAGACAACATGAAGAAGGTCAAAGCAGGGGAAGCTGTTATGAAAGGGATGGGGCAAGACAAAGCAATTTGCATGAAGAATTGAAGCAATTGAAGAAGAAAATGACGCAACAACAAAAAGTTGTCAATTCACTTATAAAATTAGGACTAGTGATGTGTATAATAGTTGATTTGTAATGACGAGGTGAACTAATGTAATTGAAATGCAATTAAATAAAGAGGGAAATTTAATCTGAAAATTGCTTTCTATTTAAATCATATGCCCAAAAATACAGGTTCATTTAACCATCATTCAACTCCACATAATATGTCCAAAAAAACTAGACAACACAACAAACACTTGACTGTTCATGTACAAAAACTAGATTACATAATCTGGCTGTGCATTCAAAAGAAATGGCTTGGAGTTCATGCAGTTGTCTTTGTCGCTTCTTGGTTTAAGAGGAGGTGTTTGAAGTGCTTGCTTCACATGCAGCTTTCCTTTTCTTTGCAGCACAAGTTAACATGTTATGGCCCAACTCATTGCATAAGCTGCACTTAACTGTAATATGCCTATTCTTTTTCCTAGCTTTATTTGGTCCTCTTATTCTTTGGTTTTCTTGCAGATCTTTTCAACAATGGTGGTTGTATTTCAGGGAGATTGAATGATGGCCATTGACTTGTGTAGGAAAATTTTCAAACTCTTTGAACCCTACTGTGGTTCATGCTTTTAGGCATGGCGGCGTTCCAAGTAAAAGAAGCTGAAGATAAAAGAGTCGCCAAAGAACTTGTAAACCGTTCATGGGTATGAAGGTTACACCCCATTCACGATCACGGAGATTGCTAACTCCATAGTGATCTGGAACCATGACTGGATGTTCGGGGATGATGGTACGAATCCAACCTAAAAGAGATTGAACCCGCCCTAAATAGGCCTCTACTCAATTCTTATGATATTCATGTGTGCTTTTCGATAAACATACATACATCAAGTTAACCATAAACCTGCTTAATCTACATTGGTTGATTATTAATGCACAATCAAATCTGTTATTGGTGATTACTTGAATTAAAATCATATTAGCCTAAATCAAATTATTAATTATCTTATTAGGCGTGATTTCAAGTACAAATTCCCTTTAAACCTGCAAAAAGAGGTGTGATAAAGCAATAACAATAAATCATGGTAATCAAGCAACATATGATTAATATAACAATCATCATCTTAACAACATCATTAATAGTGAGATCTTAGGCATGATACTAAACGGATTAATAACAAATCCTAGCATGTCACTAATAACAAAATCAAAGCATTATCCTAAACATGATACTAGAAATCAAAATAACATCCTAAACATGATACTAGGAATTAAAATAACATTGTAAACATGATTTCTTCTCTAAAATCAAATGAATAATAATAAGGGTGATTGAATTACTCACTTTGATGCCTTAACCTTCTTGCTATTAAAATAATACACACATAAGTAAACTTCAAGAAAGTTAAATCAATAAAGTAAATAAATCAAATATGAATTGAAATATAGATTTGGGACTAAACCCTCAGAACTATCAACCTTACACGTCGAGGTCGAAGACAACGTCGAGTATGGCTTGGAGTATTCGAATCTCGCGAAGAACATATTGTGGATGATTTAGATGTATCAAGGATGTGTTTAGGCTAAGAACATGGATGATTGATAAGGATTGATGATGGTTGGAGCTAAATGGTTATAGCTTATGATTGATGGTTCTAGCTAATTTGAAAACGGGGAAAACGACCTCTATTTATAGGGAAAAAAGAGAGTCTGGACGATCAGAAAAGACCAGAATTTGAAACGGAATACAACTGGTTTCATCGTGACGCGATGGAACTGTCGTGGCGCGACGGTTACTGATGTGGCACGATGATTTTAAAAATATAGAAAGGTTGTACGGAGTTTTATTTCTGATGGAAAACATATCCGAGCGTCTTTGAATTCAAATAGGATTAGGATTATAAAGAGAAGGTTTATTCAATTTCAAATTCTTAGATCTTTAAAAGATAAATTAGAACCTTCTAGAAACTTCTAAAAGAGTCCTAATTGATTTAGGATTGGAAATAAGATATTTAGACCCTCACATGATCATTGGGTCGTAGGTAAGGTGGACCTAGGTTCGGTTTGGGCTCGGTTTAGTATTTTGGCCATAACTTATTCGTTTTAAGACGAATTTGGGCTTATAATATATTGTTGGAAAGCGCTTTTCAAGACCCATCCACCTAAACAATAACTGGACCAGGAATATGGACCAAAATAATCTGGTATGGAATTTTTTTTTTAATAATTGGACACGAAATGAATGATTTTGAGGACAGAAAATGAATGGTTTTGGGGACACAAAATGAATGATTTTAGATTAAAACATTTTAAGTAAGGTTAGGAATATGGTCAAGGTTTAAGGGAACTTCACGAGACTCTTCAGCTCTTTTCCGAACTCGTTAATCAAAACGCGAAAGATACTCATCACTGAGTTTGGTTTTTAAGGAGACACAATCAGGTATCTACAGAAGCCCCCATTTTGATTGAGTTTGGAGAAAAACCTAAGTTTCGAAAACAAAAGTTAAAGTACGTCGAGAGGGACGAAGAATGATTCAGAACGTTTTGCGATCCTAAACCATCCTTTTTAACGCCGATACCTGCAGAAAGCATCAGTTCCACAAATAAAGGAGTTAAGGGGAAAGAAACGCGTATTTGGGGGTATTGACAATCCACTTTTAAGAACATTTGCCAGCACAATCCGGGTTAGGGAAAGTTGTCAATGCCACGTAAAAATCCACCATGGAAATGTTGCCATGATGAAACGACAATTCGCATCTCGGAAAAGTTGCCAAAGTCCAACTCAGGAAAAGTTGCCAACGCTGCGTAACAACCCGTCATAGGAAACATTGCTACGATCGATAATCCACGCCTTAGAACATAAATCTCGAAAGACAATACATTTCAGGAAATTTGTCAATGCTATTCGACAATCCATTTAAGAAAATATTGCCATAATCGACAATCCGCGTCTTGGAACATTTGCCGGACGAGCCAAACGACAACCCGCTTTGGGAAAAGTTGGCATTACTGAATTGAATGACAATCCACGCCGGTGAACATTTGACAAAATATTGAATAATGACCCATGACAATCCTTTTTGGGAATTTTTCCATGGTGAACTTGGTGAATTACAATCCAGTCTTGGAAAAAATTGCCAAAGGAGATGACTTGTGACAATCCACTCTTGGAAATATGGTCAATTGAGGTGACAATCCAATCTTGGAAAAATTGTCAGTTGAGGAAGATGCGCGACAATCCAATCTCTTGGAAACATTGCCAATTGAGATGACAATCTAATCTTGGAAAAATTGCCGGCGGAGGTAATGCACCTAAGACTTGCAAAGAAAGTCAAATTTGCCAAAGGACCTTGACAGTTGGTTGGCTTGAGGTTGACTCAAGGCTTGGTGTAACTCGACGCATTGTAGTTAGGGGTGTACACAAACTGGCCTGGACCTGAAAACTGACCTGAACCGGACCTGTTTGGACCGGATCGGAATCGAATCGTTGAATTCAAGTCAGGTCCCGGTCCTTAAAAATCCATGATTTTGGGTTTCTGGTCCGGGTAAAACCCGGAATTTTCAGGTCCGGACCTGAAATCGATGAAGCTGAATTTTTTTATTTATTTAAAAGGTCTAAACAAGTCGATATCAGGTCTAAACAGGTCCATATAAGGTGTAAACAGGTCCATATCAAGTCTAAACAGGTCCATAAACAGGTCTAAATAGGTCCAACAGGTTTTCTATTTAAAAAAAATCAGAACAAATTAATAATCAGGTCTATTCAGGTCAAAACCCGGACCGAACCTGATTTTTGAGGTCTAGACTGGAATCGAACCTGTTGATTCAGGTCTGGTCTCCGGTCCTTAAAAGTCAATGATTCAGGTCCTGATCCATTCAGGTTCGGGTCAAGTCCGGTACGGTTTTGGACCGGTGTATAACCCTAATTGTGGTTGGTTGGCTTGAGGTTGACTCAAGGCTTGGTGTTACTAGACTCATTGTGTGATTCAATGTACTCAACTCGATGTAATGTGACTCAACTCAACGTGATATGACTTGATGTGTATGTCGTGCATACGACTCGTGTGTGTAAACTCAACTCGATGTGGTGACACGACATGATTTAATGTGCATGACTCAACTCGAC